ATAGGATTTGAATAGGTACGATTATTTAATACAATATGCCAAAATGTGTTCAGTAACATAAGGAAATATAAATTTGAGATTGGTACAAAGTTAATAAAAGTTTTTATTAATTTATAAAATATTATATAAAAATTAATATATAAAATAAAACAAAAGGTTAATATTTAAGTATTAATTATTTTTGGAATTTGTGATGTCCATCTATCTCACATGCAAATAGAAATTTTTTTATTTTCTCTTTTTCTAATGAACTAATTATATCAAGTGATAAAATAGATATTCTATACACTTACCAATTATTCTAAATGTTAAATATTGTTATTATCTTATCGGTAAGTTTGATGACCATGTATATCAGAAACACTTTATAATAAAAACAAATAAGTATTCTGAGAATATATTTTTATATTTGTATTATTAGAGATTAAATTTTTGGAACAAATTTACTTTACTTGACACCTTTTTTTCTCTCAAACTATATGTCTTAGTATGTTTGTTGAGAGGATACCACACCCACATGTGTTGTCCCTGTCTTACAAACACGTAAAATAGCAAATTTACGCTCAACAGTTCACATTTTACTAAGTTAGCTTAAAAATTAKAGTGAATAGACCTATTATGAAACTTGATGATGAGAAAACTATCTGTATTTTTTTGGAAGTATTTTTACGATGATTCAGTTTTTAAGTGAGTTAGAGCGTATAATAAATTGTAAAATAAAAATGCTCATAACTCACTAAAAACTGATTTATCCTAAAAGTACTTTTAACAGACCACAAATAATATTCTTACCATTAAGTTTCATAATACGTCTATTCACTCTAATTCTTAAAGGTAACGGTGTAAAATGTGAACTGCTGAGTGTAAATTTGCTATGTTACACGTTTGTAAGACAGAGATAACACTTGAGGATATGGCGTCCTCTTAAGTGTTTGAACGAGTTTGCAGAAATTGCTGTTCAATAATTACAGCAAATCATTATGATGGATACTGATAAAATGTTAAATAATATTTGCTGATATCTACAACATACTATAATATATAGACCTGACGTGGTCACTCGCTCGCTTGGACAATTCAAATTCCCTTGATTCCCAAAAACTTTCCTTAATTTGTGATGTCAAATCATCTCAAATTAAAATTGCTGTAGATGTTGAAAAGTATGTCTCTGAAAATTGCCGTTTTAAACACTTAAATTAAGCATTCCTACACAAATGTTGAGAAAAAAATGAAAATAAAAGGTGTTTGGTAAAGTAGACTTAATAGAATTTTTACCTTCAAAATAAAATTTGTTTTGCCTTATCATTTTCTAGTAGATATTATTCTATTTAAGTTATCACTGAACCGTTTTTGTGCATAGTTGACTGATCCTTCAAGCATTTTCAAATCCCTTATGTGTGGCTATGTACTCTGTTTTAAGAGGATGTCAGCACACTATTTGTTTTCTTTCTCTAGCTGCTCAACATAGACAAAATGCATTTATGCAGAATCATTTTTTAAATGTTTTTAAGTGATCTTATTGTAAAATAACCTATTACAAAAAAAGATAAAGAATAATATTTTTGAGGGAATGACTTAATATCAATATTATATTTTATATGATTTGATTCTGTATTCGATTTTCAAAATAAACAAAAACATTTTGTTAGTTTAAATGATATGATGTTTATATTGTTTTGAGTCAATATTTAGACGAATTGATATGCCATTCCCTCAACTATATTATTCTCTATTTTTTTTGTAATGAGTGGTTCTAAAATAACTAAAACTCTTAGAAAAAATGATTCCGCGTAAATGTGTTTTGTCTATGTAGAGCATGGGCCAGAGAAAGAAAACAACTAGTGCACTGATTTATTCTTAATATATTAGTATTTAGTATAGAACTATGGAATACTTATAGGTACCTATTTTAAACATAACATTGTCCATTATTATTATTTTTTAATCATACTTGAAGAAGGTATAGCTGTTTTGAAAGATATTTAATCATTCATAGTAAATTATGAGAATAAATTTAGTTTTTCGTATAAAGATTCAAAGTACAAAACTATTTAAATTCAACTTTACTCAAAATATATTTAACGTGCAACCTGAAACCATTATTAAAGTAGGTATCGTTTCAACGACCATATACTATTTTGTATACATCTAATGGTATTAATGGTTAACGTGTTAGTGCTCTTCATATATATTCTACAACTTTCCAAGGCCAACCTCAACTGGTAAAAGTAGAAAATTCTATTATGTATTACTGCTGCAGCAGTACCTTCTAAAAATTATATTTTTTAATAACTTTTTAGGCATAAAAACCTGTATAGAAAATATTATGCTTCCAATTACCATATGGTAGGTATGGTACTTTGTTTATTAATTTATTATACACCAGAGAGAGAAAACAAATAATGCGCTGACATCCTTTTAACGCATAATCTCATCAATGGTCACTATAGCTCAATGTGTAGGCTGTGTATTTGTTTTTTATTTATTATACTATGTTTTAAATGATTATGTATCCTAAATAGCTTTGTAGTATTGGGGAAATCAAGACATTTGTATTGCTTATTCTGCAGTTCAAAATAAGTTTTGAGAGCTAAACTAATTTTTAAGACTCAATTTTTATAAGAATTCCGTTAAAATATATTGGTTTAGTCGAGGGTTTAGTATAGAAATTAGTTAGAAATATTTTTCGTCATCTGTTTTAGTTCAATCAGTAACAATGCAACAGTTATCCCAAAAAATAGGAGTAAAATCCTTGTTTAATTAGTTTTTTGAATACGTCATATTATTGTTAATTAATTGGTTTTATGAAATTAGATAGTAAAATCCTTACAGAATAAAAATTTTTTTGTATTGTATTATAAGTATAAGTTTGGTTGATGATCTTTGGGGCGTGGGAGGGGAGGAGCTAGAAATATAAATTAACACATATTAACATTATTTATTATAATTAAAAAATCAAGTTAGGAAACTGTCTTAATCTATATGCAGTAATATCCTTAAAAAATTATYAAAAAATTGTTTTACATACGTTTATTCAATTTTCTTGTCTGTCTAACAAATTCGTATTAGTAACCTTGTCTTAAAATATTGTGTAATAAAAATTAGAGTGAATTAATCTGTTTCAGAATTTTAAGATAAGATAATTATATAATTATCTAGGGCATCTCGTAGGCTTTTTATTATTTTGTTCATTAAATCATTTTTTTTTTTTTTAACTAAGATTGTTTTTACAATATTCAATTACTACTTGAAGTAGAAATTATTATTGATCCTTGTTCATAATAATTATATAATGATAATCTTCAATGAGTTTAAATGTTTTTTCTGCACTGTCATTGACTTACTACTTCTAAAGTTTGTGCTTTTTCTTATGAGTCTTTGTATTAATAAAATTCTGTATCTTTGGATCTTCTTTAAAAAATTTGTTTTCATCAGACTACTTGGAAAAGTCAT